TCCACTTTTTAAACTCCATACACCAGGGGTCACCAACCTTTTTGAAACTGAGAGCAACGTCATGAGTACTGAGTCGTACGAAAGGCAACAGTTTGATACGCTCTTCTGAAACAACAAATGTGTTCAGTTTGACTTTAGTTATACATGAATTATTAATGATAATCATCTATGTCATCTAATAAACTCAACTTTACAACATATAAACCATAACCACTCTAGAGCCACATCAGCCCGTTTGACATTATAATGTGTTTAAAGGAGCGTTGACACATTTGTTTATGTTTTACAAAAACTAAACTTAAAGGTTGTATAGAGGATTTTCCAAGGAACGAGAAATCCAGCGACTGTTTGTCCTTTTTCAAATGTTGCGCATGTGTGAAACCACCTCCCCTCCCCTACAGCTCCTACGTAGAAACGCCTCCTCTCCCGCCTCCTCCTTACGCCACAAACAGGTTTGTTTACAGCCGGTGAGCTGCACATGACTTGTAAACAACTAACTACAGTGTTGGTTAGGCAAGACGGAGAAGTGAGGAGCGGGGGGAGGGTGTGCGGACATTTCGTGCGCGGACGAGAAGTGAGGAGCAGAGAGAAGAGCGGAGCAGGGAGACAGGAGAAGGAGAAGGGCGCGCGAGATTCAGTGCGAATGAACTAGCTACAACACGCAGCAGCAAGCGGACTCTTTCTTTGCCTTGAAAATTACGTTTTCAGACATAGGATATCGCTTTCGTGTCCTGAAAAACGTTTGTCTCGCTCTTGGAAATAAAGTACGTTTTCATAATAAGCAGAAGTTTCCTGTCCAGGAGTAATTTGTGGACCAGTGCTTCAGTCTTTAGACCCTTCGTCTGCTTCAGTTGCGCCATCGCTGGAATGAATCTTCAAGAATCACCTTAGTTTGGCTTCGCTGCTTTTCCCCTTGTCTTCTTCTTTCAGCGACCTCAAAAACGGACTTTCTTTTGCGGCGAACTGCTCCTGGATTCTTGTCGCCATTGCAACAAACTTTGTGTGAACTGCGAGGAAGATATAGGTCAAAAAAAGCCGCTAAGAACTGTTGCGTTGGTGGAGTAAACAGCGTCTGTGCGTCTTGCGTCTGTGGACTGCGTGACAGTCGTACGTAAACCACGTACCGGCGGCGCAGGCAAGTCAGTTACACTAGAAACGTAGGGAGTTTGATTGACAGCCTGTCAGCTCACAGATAACGAGGCAGTGTCGTTATCTATTGGCAAATGTTTAGCCCCACCACGTCCAGAGTTGATGAATTTTTATTCTCTTTTTTTTGGTCATCATAATTACAAGGCTACTGCATCTATAATCTATCATTGACAATTTGAAACAAAAAAAAATCCTCCATACAACCTTTAAAACTGAACGTCTCATTTGCATAAACTGCACTGATCACTCACTTAAATCGCTGATCTAAACTTTATGTATAATGAACATATTTTTAAATGCAGGGGTGATTTAAAATCAAGGGTGATTAAAAAAGAACAGCAACAGAATAAAATTAAATTGTAGATGCAGCTCACTAATGAGTTGTGCTATTTTTTAGAACCGGACTGTGGACAACTCATGTAGTACTTGGAGGCGACCTGGTGCCCCCTGCCAAACATCTTCACTAGAATCATTTGAATGATTTCAGACCTGGAATTTCTGATCTCGGCTGAACTAAAAGGTAAAAGGAGATGTTCACTTGAAAACTACAGCTTCATGACATCACAAGGTGGAACAGAGCGTTTGGAGCTTTGGAGATGTAGACAAATAATAAATATGTTTTTAATTTCATTTTTTGTACATTATGAAATCATAATTACAAATTATTTGCCAGTTGTGTACATAAAAACAAAACAAAACAAAACAAGGACAACTCAACCTCAGAGTTAGAAAATTAATTTTAATGTAAAAAGAAGAGGTGGGACTTGTAAGTCGTGACTTGGACTCAAGTCAGACTTGAGTCACAATTTTTAGGACTTGAGACTTGTTTTGATAAAATGGACTAAGACTTGGGATTTGACTCGGACTTGAAGCTTGTGACTTGAGAAGGACTTTAAAATCTGAATTCTTTCTATTCTGACCGTAATTATTCACTCTAACATCTTGACAAGACATTTAAAAAGGAAAAATGTGCATTTCTACAACTGTGTAAATACTCATATATAAATATACTATGACTTTATAAGTACAGTTTATCTTAAAATTAATAAATCTCATAAATTGCAAAAATCTAAGTTACTTTGGTTTAAAGACTTGAAATGACTTGAAGCTCAAAGCAGACGACTTGGACTTGACTTGGATTTATGGACCAGTGACTCAAGACAAAGAGTGTCAAACTCATTTTGTTCCAGGGGCCGTATCCAACCGACTTTGATCCCAAAGGGGCCAAATCAGAAAACTCACGTCATATAAACCCCAAAAATAACAATAAGTTCAAATATTTGTGCAGAGAAACACAAATCTATTACAGAAATCTTTTTTAATGGATGAACTCTTTCTTTTACAAAATATTATAATATTATGAACAACCTGAAACTTTAAGAAAAATGCAGTTTCAACACAATGTTTTAACATTCACTTGTATGTATTTCATAGAATTTAGTCACACTTTCTTTTTGCTTTTGCTTTCCTAAAACTTAGCATCTTTTAGTAACTGTAAATCTGTTATTTCTTGTTGCTTGTCTGTGGGCACATCAGAGGTTTTGACTGTGAATGGTGTGTGAAAAATTGCAAATTCTGTCTTCAGGTTTTAAAATATAATTAAAATATTTTAGTAGAAAATCAGCCGAGGGCCAGATTAAAGGTCTTGGAGGGCCGGATCTGGCCCCCGGGCCGTATGTTTGACAGACTTGCTCTAGACTCTTGGACTTGCCTGTATTTGACTTGGGACTTGACTCGGACTTGAGGTCAAAGACTTGAGATTTACTTGAGACTTGCAAAACGACGACTTGGTCCCACCTCTGGGAAAAAGGTTTACAGAATAATCTCAATCATCGTCAGCATCATCCGTCAAATTAAGACTCCGTACAAACATTTTTATGAGGACACAACACATCAACAGTTTCAACTTTCCTAATGCACGTGATCTTATGAGCGTCTGTTTTACCCAGTGTATTTAATTCTAATTCTTATTATTAATTTAATATCGATATTTTGTGTTGAATTTGAAATGAATCTACTCAACATTTAAGCTTTATACATAACTAAACACGTAAATTATTTAAATGAAAAATCAAAAAACAAACAACTTCCATAACTTAAAATACACTTAGGCTACGTTCAGACTGCAGGGCTTAATGCTTAATTCCGATTTTTTTGTGAAATCCGATGTTTTTTCGAGGTCGTTCACATTTCCAATTAAATGCGTCTTGTCTGTGACTTCAGTGTGAACGGTAAACGGCCCGAAAGTGTCCCGCATGTGACACTGGAGACACGATGACGTCAACCCCATGCGTCAACCGCAGCGATCGTGCTCTGTGTTTACGGAAGTTGTCCAAACATGGTCGCGAGCATCGAGCACCTGGAGATTTTACAGTTCCGGTTTCCGCCTGCTTCAGCGCAGAATAGTGACGTTTGTCGCTTGTTAATGACGTGTAGGTCGGATGGATGAGCTTTGGCCGTTCAGACTGAAGTCGCATGTGAAAAGATCGGATATGTATCGGATTCAGGAGCACATATCCAAGTGGTGTGGGAAATATTATGTGTTGGTCATGCTAATTCACCCAATATTATGGACTTTGGAATGACAACAGGGTGGAAAACACGTATGACTATCTATAGGTCTATATAACATGTTATTTCTGTACCTGGAGTGCCATAAAGAACATGTTTTCTGTACTTTGAGATGCCACGAAGCAGAAAAACTGACATATGTGGACCCCGTGGCATGTTCCCACCCATGATAAGGTGCACTGGGTCAGCAGTATTGTTCATTTTCTTGCTGTATAATGCTAAATCAACAAGTTAATGTTTTGTCAAGATGTAGTATAAAGCTACCCCTGATTTTGAGTTGGTCAGAGACGTCGTCCGGGGTGGCAGTTGTACTTGGTAATAACTTTGAATCTCTCTCAATGGAAATGCTGAAATAAAGTGGCCTGTTCTCTCGGATTCTCCATCTCCTGTGCTTCTTTTTAGGACACGCATTGAACCTTCCGAAAAAAACCACAGTGGCCTGGATCACATTTGAAAAATTCTGATCTGTGTCGTTCCGACTGACATTAAAAGATCGGATACAGGAACATAGAAGCCAAAAAATCGGATTTGGGTCACTTCAGGCTGCAGTCTGAACGCAGCCTTAGACTATTTAAATCGGACCTGGGCATTGTACATCTCCCTGGCCACATGGTCGACTCTGACCGACCTGTTTAAACTCATTTGGAATTACAAAATAAACATATTTTATCATTTTACCTCATGCATGGACTAAAACTGTATCACTTTAATTTTAGAGCTGTTTTTTAATGACATTTTTCGTAATGCAACCTCACTTTTTCGTCGCTTAGTCATAACATAAACTCTTACAAGCTCGTCAAAACAATATTTACTGTTTTTTTTATTTTTTATAAAGAAATACAATTAATATTACGCAGAATTGAGTTACAATATTTTCTGTTTCTCATGTGGCCCCATGGAACAAACAATTTCCCACCTCTGATTTAAATCATTATCTCAGTTTACACTTGTACTCGAATTAAAAAGTACAGCCCCGTTTCCTTCAGTTTCTAGTTGTTACAGACACTTTGCATTTCTATATTTATCTCTCAGCAACATTTAGCTCATGCCTGTTCAAATGTGCAGACAAGAAACACTAAGAATACACTTTCCTCTGCACGGTTATTTGTTGTCTTAAGCGTTACGTCACGGAGATTAGCTTAATGGGTTTAGTCTATGGAGCTGTCCCGGGCCGTCTCCGCCGCTCCCGATGCACGGACAACAAAATGGACGACTTTTATGGCGTTTTTAAGATCGTTTTGGTGGTTTCTTTGGTTTCTCCCGCGGATTTGATGTGTTTACCCGGATGCACGTGCGCGGACGACCACTTGGGAAGGTGAGGCTGCGGTTACCGTTAGCCACTTAGCGTCACGCTGTGCTATTGATTAACGTTAGCCTACTTTAAAACAGTGCCAAAGACAGTCCGCGTTTGGAGAGCTAAAAGTTTGAACCTTTGAACGTTTTTAGAAATAACCCGTTTCCGAAAAAGAACAATAACACAGAAATGAACATTGTTTATTTTGTTGTTTTTACATAGATATATTGGTGCACTAAGTAACTTTTTGTTTTGGGGTCCGTCACCTTCTTGTTTCTATGGATATATCATTTCTCTGTCTAGAATATTCCACAGTGTGACATTAAACAGCTCTGCCTTATGTTTATTAAATTACAGGTGGTTTTGAAGCTCAAAAATACAGAGAAAAACAGACATTCTGACTGTGAGCGGAGTCGCCTCTCCACAGATCTGACCTGTAACTTGGTCAGGTTTGGTCTCTGCGATGATAGAAAGGTTTAATGCCGTACTGTGGAACATTCCAGACAAAGAAATAACATCTCCAAAGAAAAAACAAACAAAACAAAAACATCTGACGGACCCTTCACTAGAAAAGTTACACAATGCAGCTTTAACTAAGTATTGTCCATTAGTTCCAACTGTGCATGTATGTACTGTGCGTTTATTCATGCCAAGATCCATAAAACAACACACATTTGCTTTATCAAGGTAGATTTTCAAAAAACTTGCAGTAAAAAGTACATTTTTAATTTAAGGTAATTTAGGCCAATTCACCTGGAAGCCTGAGGGCCTAGAAAATTTGTCTGAGGGCTGCATTTGGCCCACGGGCCGTAGTTTGGACATGTCTGCTCTAAGTTCTCTAGTTGGTAATAATAAAATTGTGAAACCAGTGCTTGATTAAGGAAAATTGTTCTGCACTTGGCTCATTCAGGATGAAAATGTGAGTCAGTATAGTCAGATTTTCTTTGTGTTTTGGTCATTTTTAAGCAGCTTTTCTGTATTTTACCTAAACAAATGACAGTTTATGCCTCTGTTTACTGTTGGCAGGGATCAGATTGGTCAAAAATAAGAACACGTGGGACATTTTTTGTATAAAACTGGGACAAATCAGTGGTTTTGTATAAATCTGCTGGGACAGGGGACACAGGACTCCAAACTGGGACTGTCTCGGGTAAATAGACACGTTTGGTTACATTAAATTTGTGTAGGTTGACCAATTTCGTGTCAAACCTAAAGCGCCAGACTGGAAACATAAACATTAGCCTGTTAGCTTGTTAGCCCATTAGCTAATATGTGTCACAGAGCTAATTAGGCTGAGTGCTCTCAAAATAAACTCCTGAAACTAACAACAAACACCAACAACAACCACGCTCAAAGTGAATTAAATAAATAAAACTGTTTGACTGACGCCTCCACAAAAGAAATAGACGATTTTAAGCAGAAATCTTTAAAGGCGCGTGTTTAGCTTTTACGTCAAACGCATTTCTTCATGGAGATGTTGTCAGTTTGCGTGGAATGTTTCACAGTGTGGCATTAAACCTTTCTATTTTCACGAAAACCAACCCAGACCAAGTTACAGGTCAGACATATCCATAGAAACAAGAAGGTGACCGAACCCCAACTGAAAAGTCTAAGATTTGTCATTTGTTTACGTAACTTCAAAACTTGGAAATTAAGAAACTAAACGGCTGAATTACATTTTTAAAAGTTGCATAATAAACATTTCGTTACCTTCCCTAATTGAATAAACTTTACTACTATTACTGCTACTACTTTTATTTACTTTATTGGGTATTTACGGTGTAAAACCCTGATATGTGTCACAGAGCACAGAGTGTTCTCCAAGCTCCTGAAACTAACGACAACAACAACAACAGAAACGCTCACTGTTAATTGGTCCTTGTACCATTTGTTCTTTTGAATTTCAATTAAGAACAAAAAACTATAAAATTGGAAAACAGTTTAATCCGTGTGTCATTCGTTCATTTGTTTTTCAATATAAAACCAAAAATAAGAAAATGAAAAAACAACTATTTTCTTCATTTTTTGTCTCCAAAACCAAAATAAACAAAACATAATGATTTGTTTTTTCAGTTTTTGATTTTGTGTTTAAATGAAAAATGGAATATTGAATGGATAACGGCCGTTTATGTGACTTCTGTGACTGTGATGCCGGACTTTTGCACCATATACGGACTGAACCGGGACTGATCCAGGTCCAGGACCAGAGCAGACTCCAAGCTTTGACTCCGAGCCTCCGTGGGGTCTGAGTCTCTGGTCTGGTCCCGGTCTGGTCCCCTACTTTCATATTAGGCAATGTGTGTGAAGTGTCTTGCCTAAGGACACAATGACAGTTTTTTTTGCCACTGGCGCCTCCTGTGGCACCTACCTACTGGTCTCCCATCCAAGTCCTGCCCAGGCCCGGCCTGCTGAGCTTCTGAGACCTGATGGGATCAGGCTTTGACAAGCTGGTACGGCAGCAGGATGAATGTGACCTGATCGTTCAGACTGAAGTCGCATGTCAAAAGATCAGATATGTATCGGTTTTAGGAGCACATATCCAAGTGGCCTGGGTCACATGTGAAAAAATTGGATTTGTTTCATTCAAACTGTCATTAAAAGATCAGATACAGGAGCATAGGGGCAAAAAAAAAATCAGATTTGGGTCACTTCAGGCTGCAGTCTGAATGTAGCCTTAGTAAAACAAATTTCAATTTTATTCATCTGTATTTTTACTTGCCTTACTGTTCACAAGAGTCAATTTTAGGACCTAATCATTTGTTTTGTCTTTTTTCTCTTTTCCAGATCTTTACAATGTATGGAAGCACCGATGTCCCAAATCCCGGACGACATCCCGCACAACTTCACTAAAATCCGAATCGAAAACTGCCACTTAACCGAACTACCCGCCGGCTCCTTCTCCTCTGTCGGCGATTTGGAGTTTTTGTGGCTGAACTTCAACGAAATCACATTAATGAACATAAAAAGTCTGGACGGTCTCGCCAACCTCACGGAGTTACGTTTACAAGGGAACAAGCTTACGACAATTCCGTGGACGGCTTTCCAGGACACTCCGAAACTCAAAATTTTGGATTTAAAACATAACAAGTTAGACGTTTTACCTGAACATGCTCTGAGGTATCTCCCAGGACTTACTTACTTGGACTTATCCTTCAACAATCTTAACATAATTTCCAAAGATGTGTTCCTAAACTGGCCGTTGTACCAGAAAACGGAAAAAACATGGAGCAAAGAAGGAATCGTTTCGAATGTGGTCCTAGCTTTGCACGACAATCCATGGAAATGCGATTGCAGATTAAAAGGTTTCGTTGAATTTATCCGAACGGTCAACCCGCCCATAATTTTGATGAACTCGTACCTGATGTGCCAAAGCCCCAAGTCGAAAGTCGGCAGGTTTTTCCACGAAATCCAGCTGAAAACGTGCTTGAAACCGAACGCCAGCTCTCCGGATGCAAACGTCACTTTACCTCTGGGATCGAACGCGACGTTGACGTGTTTAGTGAAAGCCAGACCAGAGCCGAGCATCCAGTGGACCTACAACCTGAAGATGATACGAGGATTCACTGGTAAGTATTTATTGTCTGAACCTGCATGATTCGATGGAAATACAGAGTTAAAACCACACTTGGGAACATTCTCTGTGGACATAGATAGGTGCTATACCATAGGGTGGAAGATTGTAGACAAAAAAACAACATCTCCATAGATACTGTCACGTAGAGGTCCTCCTCCAGACCAAAAACCAAATAAAAGTCAGGTGTGTGGAGCTGCAAGCCCACTCACAGCCCACTTTTTAGCCATTAAAAAAATTATTAAAAAGTGACGTACAGGGGCTTTAAGTAAGAGTACTCTTACTTCAAAATAATATTAGTCAAGTGACAGTACAAAGTAAAAAGTACAGTACAATAAAAGGTATTTTGAAAAAAGTCTGATTTATAATGTGAAATGTGTAATGTACAATACAGTGTCATAGTATTCGAGGCTTTTTTTACGGTCTTGATCTCGTCTCATATTAGAGCGCATTTAGGCTCGGTCTTGATGGAGCTTGGTCTTGTCTTGGTCTTGATGGAGCTTGGTCTTGTCTTGGTCTTGATGGAGCTTGGTCTCGGTCTTGTCTCGGTCTTGTCTTGGTCTCAGACTCGAGGTCTGACAAGTGCGATTATATTTCATTACGGCCGGTATATGTGCAGAGACTAAATATCACTGCAAAATTAGTAAGATTATGTAACTGTAAATGTTATGAACTTGAAAAAAACGACTTCATTCACTTTGAAGTGGTTTTCTGTAAAGTGCCAGTGGAAATCAGATTAAAGAAGGGGTTCTCAAACTGTAGGTGACAGAGTGTTTCAGTGCAATCAGTTTGCTTGGCTTATTTTACGCCTAAATTAACATTAACCAGATCAACTGGAGATCGATTTATAAAAACAAAGACATGTATGTGTCAAAGTAACTGTAAAATACAAATAAATGCCGAAAATGACAAAGATGGTCTCGATTTGGTCTCAATGGGCCAGTCTTGTCTCGGTCTTGACCCTCAGTGGTCTTGGTCTTGTCTTGATCTCGGGACCCTGTGGTCTCGGCTTTTCTTGGTCTCGATTAGTGCGGTGTTGACTACAACACTAGTATAATGTATATGAAATGAATGTAATTGGAAGGGCAAATTAAAAAATAATGCACGAAAACTGGTGTTTTCAGAGGCTAGACAAAAAATTGGACAAACAAAATCATATCTGTAAGAAACACAAAGGTTTTACTCAAGTACTGTTACACTGTACAATGATACTCAAGTAGGAGTTAAAGTTTGGGGCCCTAAAGAGAAGAACAATTTTACAAAAAAGTTACTCCAATAAATGTAACTGAGTACCAGTAACTGGACAGGAACAATATGATGAGTACAACAGAGCATCAACATAGACTTAATGGGCCTAAATTACTTTGAATTCTTCCCTAATGAAAAAAACAAACCTTGAGTCTAACCCCAGGACATGCACACTCCACCTATTATTATTTTAATATCTATTTTCTGTTTTCTTTTTGTAGCCATGGAAACCCAAATTGACGAGGACACCTTCAGCTCTCACCTGCTCATCCCGTCCTTACATTTGGCGGACCGCGGACTCTACACGTGCTCCGCCAACAACTTCATCGGAAACTCCTCCGCGAGCGTCCTGGTCGCCATCAACAACCCCAACTCCTCCCCGTCCTCCCCGCTCCCGCCGCCCGTCCCCATCTTATCCTCCGACGAAAACCCTTACGTCGACATCCGCATCGCCAAACAAACCGTCTACGGGATCACGCTGGAGTGGTTCGCCGCGACGGAAAACCCGACGGAAACCTGGTACACGATCCACTTCGGAAAATACGACTCGCCGAAAAAGGAATGACGTACATCGGGCCGGGAATCAACTCTTACTCCGTCGAGAATCTGCTTCCCGTCACGAAATACGAAGTTTGCGTCGCCTTGAAGAACCACCCGCCGCGAGAAGGTCAGTGCGTCGTTTTCGTAACCGGGAACGACGTGAGCGAAATGGAGCAAAGGGAGAGGCTGATCCACATCATCGTTTTGGTTTGCGCGATGGTTTTGGCGGTGCCGGCCGGGATGTACGCGTGCACGACGGAGACGAGGGCCGGGTGCGCTGGGAAGTGTCTGCGGTTTTTGAAAAGGAGGAAGAGACACGGGGACATGCAGGAGATGGAGCGACAGGGGACGTTCGACAGTCTCCAGGCGGCGAGCAGCGAGACGCTTTGTAGAGACGAAAGACCCAAGGACACGGCCAGAGGAGGAAGCGCCGCTCAACTGTACTGACTCTGTTTATGTGTTTGTCAGGGACGGGACGAGAATCTGTGGGTCATTCGTTCGTTTTTAAAATGAAACCAAAAATAAGAAAATGAAAAAAACTATTATTTGTCTCCAAAACTAAACTGAAAAAACGGATAATTAGTTTTTTCAGTTTTCGATTTTGTGTTAAATAACCCGTTTCCCTATGGGACTGAAAGTCCTGGACAAACCAGACTTCCCTGGTCCCTGTCAATCCCAGGTCTGGTCTCTGGTCCTGGTCCAGTCCCAGTCTGGTCCTGGTCTCAGTCCCATGGTCTGGTCCAGTCTGGTCCTGGTCACAGTCCCAGTCTGGTCCTGGTCTCAGTCCCAGTCTGGTCCCTGTGTCAATCCCAGTCTGGTCCTGGTCTCAGTCCCAGTCTGGTCCCTGTGTCAATCCCAGTCTGGTCCTGGTCTCAGTCCCAGTCTGGTCCTGGTCTCAGTCCCAGTCTGGTCCCTGTGTCAATCCCAGTCTGGTCCTGGTCTCAAGTCCCAGTCTGGTCCGGGTCTCAGTCCCAGTCTGGTCCCAGTCTGGTCCTGGTCTGAATCCTGGTCTGGTCCCGCTTTCAGTCCCAGTCTGGTCCTGGTCTCAATCACGGTCTGGTCCTGGTCTCAGTCCTGGTCTGGTCCCGATATCAATCCCAGTCTGGTTCCGGTATGGTCCTGGTCTCACTCACGGTCCTGGTCCTGGCCTCAAGTCCCGGTCTCAGTCCTGGTCCTGGTCCTGGCCTCAGGCCTGGTCTCAGTCCCAGTCTGGTTCCTGTCTGGTCCCAAACCTGTTTTAGTCCTGGTTCAGTCCTGCTTCAGTCCTGGTTCAGTCCTGGTTCAGTCCTGGTTCAGTCCTGGTTCAGTCCTGGTTCAGTCTGGCATCACAGTTTAAATCACAGCTGTTATCCGTTTTTTTTTGTTTTGTTTTTTTCATTTAAACACAAAACTCAGAAAAACAAATCATTATCTGTTTTTTTCTTTGGTTTTGGAGACAAATAATGAAGACAGACGCTCCTGGCTTCAATGTCAACGAAAAATAAAAGAGCCTGCGACACAAATACAAGGAGGATAAAGAGTCAAACAAACGAAGCGACCGTGGACGTGTGACCTGAACATTTTACCAACAACTGGACCAGATTTTGGGAGACGAGCCCAGAGTTTAGGCGACTTCCACAAACACTGAGCACGTTCGCTGTGTGTGACGTCGTGGTTGTTTCCTCCAGTGCAGATACGGGACATTAAAGTTCACAAACAAGTCGCTTTTAACTGGAAATGTGAATGACCTTGCAAAAGAATTGGATTTCCAAACTGAGATTTCCTCCCTGCAGTCTGAACGCAAAGACCAAAAATATAAATGGTAAGACTAAATTCTGAATAAGTAGCAAAAATTACATAAAAAAAGAACTACAGCTTTTGAAGAGGAGTTACTCAACTAAGTGCAAAAATATGAGTGGAAAAAAATAATTTCCTCAAGTGTTTTGTGGCAATTTTGTCTCGCGAGATCTTGTCCCATCCCTGTTTATTTTAGGTTTTTCAATTTTGAATCTAATTATTATTGTTATTTTTTTTATGTTAAATGGATATAATGTTAAAATGAAAAAAATAAATAAATCACAATGTCACACTGCATTTTCAGTCTTATTTTAGTTTTACAAATTGTTATTTAAAGGTGCACTCTGTAACTTTTTTGACAGACCTTTTTCACAACGCTGTAGGTTTGCGTAACTTCCGGTTAATTCTTTTTCTATTAATATCTGTGTAAATTAGGGATGGGCATTCGATGAAATTTTCTTAATCGATCGTCGGAAGAATTAAGGATCGATTATCGATTAATCATTAACGTTTTATTAAAATGATCATCATTGTTATTACTATCTGCACTAATCTGCATAAATAAATTCAACTTTACGACATATAAACCGTAACGACTCTAGAGCCACATCAGCCCGTTTGACATTATAATGTGTTTAATCAGTTGTTCAAATCTCACATGAAACAAACTTAAAACCACATCACTAATTACATAAACTAAGTGAAGATAAAACGCAGCTCTTGTGTCGCTGATGTGGTCAACTTCTGTAGTTTAACTCTTTCCCCCATGAAACGACATTTGACGACCCCCCGTTTCCGTTAATGACGACTTTTAACACCTCCGCTGTTTCACTAAAGACGTGATTTGAGACCTTTAGAAATGGCTCGTTTTTCACATTTAAACAGAGACTGTGATTTCGGGCCACTACAACCACACTAGACTGACCATAGGATTCAAGGATATGTTTTCGCCGTTTTTTTCCGAAGTAATCGAAGTAGTGATGATTGTAGCTTCCGGAAAAAAAACAACACGAACACGAGCAATGGAATAGATCGCGGGCATAGTTTTAGAAATAATGAGGCGGACGTATTTTATGGATAAGTTTAGAGAAAGGACTTTATAGATTTCAAAGTGATGATGTTGAAGTTGATTATAAAGTGGAAAACAGCGACAGCGACGGACTTTCGGGAGAAGGTGAGATGCGCTGATGCATCTGTGTGGAGTCCTGCGATGTCCCAACAAACTATCTGAGCTTTTATACTCGATTATGAACAAAATTGCTCTGAAATCTGGATGTTGCTCAGGTTAGTCCTTTAAAATATTTCAGTTTTTTTTCCAAGATGTGATGTATAACAGAATCTACAGAAAAAAACGCTTAGTATGCGGAGCTCTGCACACGAGAAAATAACCAAGATGACAAATACTGGACCACTGACGGGAAGAGTTTTATATTATATTATTTATTATAATAAGCTAAAATGAGTTGAATAAGTTTAAAATGAGTTGAATAAGTTTTAATGGAAAAAATGAATCAGGTGCACACAGGTGACAACAGGTTAAAAACAGGTGCACACTTGGCTATACTGTATCTGGTGATATGAAATGTGTTTAAATACTTTGACAAAGCATATATTTTATTTTTTATGAATACAGTACTCAGAACATGTATAGATCAAATGCTGAATGTAGTTTTTTTGTTTTCGAGTTTGCACCTGACCAGGTAAACTCTCATTTTCAGTGAGCTGTTATAAACCTGTAAATGAGTTGAATCACATTTAACATCCATAAATGAAGAGTTCAGAGTCTAAAGTTTCCAGAGATCAAATATGTCTGTGTTACAATTAAGTTCATGAGTGTAAAAATCATTTATAATCACTCGTGGAAGTCTGTTTTCTTTTATGCAGTTATGCTCTATGGGTAGCTCTAGTAACACATGTATGGGTTGTTCCTAGTCGGCGTCCAGGGGGGAAAGAGTTAAAAGACATGACTCAGGTGAATACAGGTTAGTGTGACCAGATTTGTTTTGTTAAAACCAGGACGGCGGGCGGGGGGAGGGGGGCGGGGCCTCGTCATCCACATTGAGCGACTCTCACCTGGAAAAACTTTTTCCCACTGGACACAGAAACATATGTGCTGCTTTATACACTGTGCACATGGACTCACACTTGTCCCAACGCAACGGAAAGTGTGGAATTTCTTGTACAAATCATCGTTAAATCCACATTTGTGCTTCGGTTCGTTACAGACTGACCCACTGTTTGTGTCTCGCTCCTTCTGATGCAGAGACACATGTACACACCTGTTTGTCACGATACACACAGCAACATAACATTCGGTTTGTCGATTAAAATGAACATAATCCATGAAATTCTTAATGATCAATTATCGATTAATCGACTAATCATGCCCATCCCTAGTAATAATGTCTGGTGTATTTTCCAGCAGCTTCATAAATCTGCCCCATCACCAAATCTTCAACCAACAAAGTCGACAAAGGATAAACATTCTAACGTGAACAATTTACCCACAACTATCAAGAGAAGAAAGACGAAAACTTAAATGTGAACAATGACGACGCTTTAGTGAAATACCGAGCAAAACTACAGCGGGAGTCTTGTGAAAAAGGTCTGTAGGGGCTCTTATATGTGCTTGTCTCAGTGTTATTGCTTTGTGTGGAATATTAAACAAGGCACAGTACACTTCTATGGGTATTTATGAGTAACACATAACATATTTACCTCACCGTGTTACCTTTTTGTGTTTTGAAAATTATATATTTGCAGAAAGCAGTGTATTCACTTTTCTTAAAGGTTGTATAGAGGATTTTTTAAGGTAAGAGAAATAATTTTCCAAATGTTGCGCATGCATGACACCACCTTCCTCCTCCACCGCTCCCTCAGTAGAAACGTCTCCTCCCGCCTCTTAACTCTAGAAATCACGCTTGTTTACAGCCAGTGCGCATTCAGAATCACTGTTGAAGTGACCTGTCTGGAAGTAATTTAGCGACCGACGCGTCAGTTTTTAGACCCTTCGTCTGCTTCAGTCGTGGCATCGCTGGAAGAAATCTCCAAGAATCACCTCCGTTTGGCTTCGCTCCTTTTCTTCTTTTTTCAGTGACATCAAAACTGACTTTCTTTCACGGCGAACTGGTCGTGGATTCCGTGCCGCCGTCGGCAACAAACTTTGTGCGAACTGTGAGGAAGCTACACAGTTTAAAAAAGCCTCCAAGAACCGCTGCATAAACCACGTAATCCCCGAGTCAGTTAGACTAGAAGCACAGGGAGTTTGATTGACAACCTAACAGCCAATAGATAAGAGGGAGCCTTGTTTTTCTATTGGCTGATGTTTATCTGGCTCAACACGTCCACAGTTGACGGATTTCATTCTTTTTTTTTTTTTTGGTCAACAATAATTACAAGGCTGCTGCGTCTCTGTAATGGTGTTTTAAACTTTTACTTACAATTTGAAACTAAAAAAAAAATCCTCCATACAACCTTTAAGTTTCATGTTTTTGATGCTCAGAGTTGCCCCTGCCTTTGCTCTCCACACTAAGTCACTCATCCTTCAACACTTTACTTTTAAGACTCTCAATAGTGTGGGAAATATTATGTGTTGGTCATGCCAATTCACCCAATATTATGGACTTTGGAATGACAACAGGGTGGAAAACACGTATGACTATCTATACGTC